GATGCAAGCCCTGCGGAGTGATAGAAATCTAGAGCCTGTGTAAAGACAGGCCCCAGAATCCAGGTCATTCTATCTTTGTCTTTAGAGGATATTTCATCCCTCCAACCTTGATTTTGAAGTGACGAGTTGGGAAATGGGGATTTCTCTCTCCAGGGTTGGATACTGTTTGCAGCCCTGCAGGAGGGATATCGTTTGGTCTAAATTTCTAGAGATGTAGCCATCAGTGTCCCTTTTGGTGGGTGATCAGACTGAGTGGACATGTTTCACAGGTCCTCAGAAGGACCCTAGTACATCCCTGTGGACCAAAGGTCACCAGAACACATCAGGAGCTTCCGCCTAATCCTGAGCATTGGCCCGATTCACAGGGCAGCGAAGCGGAACTCAGGGTAGACACACGCCTGAGACTTGTTCTCAGCAGTGCCAGCGGATCAGAAGGTTAGGAGAGGGAAGAACAGGCAAGAAAAAGAGGAGAAGGAAGGGGACGGGAGGAAAATATGAGAAAGAAAACCAAGGAGGCAGCACTGGTGGCGAATAAGCCAACAGTGGTGGCAATGGTCGCGTGTCTCTGGTTTCCGAGAACTGAGAGGTGCCCTGTTTGTTCTCCACGGCCACTTTGCCCACAGCCTGCATCTTTGTCTCTTTGTTTCTGCTCCCCCATTTCCCCCTCTGTCCTTTACTTTATCTGATTCAGAATTTGCAGGAGAAGTTAGACAGGAGCCAACAATATCCCAGCATTCCCAGAAACAGCAGTGCCCCAGCTTGGAATCAGCCAGGACCACGGACAGCGGAGGGCAAGCTGCTGCTCTGCGTGTCCCTCTCGCCCCACCTGCCCTCTCCCCACGTTACCCCACACGTCACATCACTGTGCTGGGAGAAGCAGTAACACCAGTAAGACCTCCGAGGGGCAGGTGGGCCCCGCTAGATGCTGCCTGAGGTGGTACAGCCTTTCCTGAAATACAGAGCTTTTAACTTTTCACTCCATCCGTGAACTCTGCAAGAATGCAGAGCTGAGACAGCCTTGCGAAATGTGCAGGACGGCGGATTCCCCTGATGCTGGCCTGGATTACAGACTGCGGCCTCTGCTGGGGAGGAGGGTGGAGAAACCAGCAAACGAACGTCAGGCTTTGCTGAGTGTTGAGTGAGACTTCATGAGGCAGTCGGATGGTAGGACACAGAAGGACTTTCCTAACTTCCCTTTGGTCTCATTAGAAAGTGATATTTATTGTATTTTAGGCCAATTAGACAGATGATTTCATTAGAATGGCTTCTTAAAAAATGAGTATAGACGTTTTCCTAAATTAAAAATTTCTAAGTTTCAAATGTCCTTTTTAATTTTTTTAACAAGATACTATAGACACGTCTTGAAATTTATAATCTAAAAATAGGATTTCATCAAAATACTCTATTCTATTCTGGGCATTGATATACCATGTATTTACTGTTTATGGCTCTCCAGACATGGTAAACACTATACCAAAACAAAACAAAACAAAGGCATTTAACTTCACTGATAAGGACAGTGTCCTGTGAGAAGGAAAATTATGTGGGAAAAAGATGAGCTGTGTTTGCTGGAAAAGTAACTCAACCTGGTGTTTCTGAGATTCATCCCAAATCAGTCGTGCGGGATAGATACACACAGACTCAGAGAGAACACAGGAATGAGAGGAACAGTAGTTAGACCCGCAGATCTTGTCCATGGCAAAAACAACAACCAAAGAAACCCTGAATCCAGTAGCTTGCTCTCACATGTCCTCGTGAACCGCGTGCTGGAGATGGACTAGCAGAGTGCACAGGACCCTCGGCCTCTCGGGACTCAGTCCTGTGAGAGGGCTCGCCAGTGGTCAGACACTGACTTTCTGGCCACGAACCAGGCAGGAAATCCCATAACTTATCTCCCCGAGAGGAGAGCCATGCATGCTGCGGAGGCAAATAAAGACGGTGTGGATTTTATCTGGACTTTAGAAGTCGGGCTAAATAGATGTAAATACAGAACACAGAGAGCTTGAAAACACAGGACTTCGAGCAGTCAGGTGTGTGAAGCACAGAGATGCAGGATGGTGATTCTGAGGCAGATTCAGAGGGGCAGAGGGGGCAGTCAGGTAGTCAGCTGCCTGGAGCCCCTGACGTCGTCTGTTAACCTTCCTGTTGTTCTGCTTGCTTATATTTTCCAGGTGACTAAGTTACACCTCACCTCCTCGGGTTTTGTTCTCCTTACGGAAACCTCAGGTGGTGAGGGGGGTGTGGGCTCCTCTCAAGACTCTAATTCACCAGATTTTTCTATTAAAAGTGCAGGGTAGACCTGGCTTACAGCAGCGTGGGGACGTACTTTTGGGCTTTGAAGCAGAGAGCGAAATCCTGAGGCTTGTCCCACAGGACCTTTAATCTCTGGCTGACACGACCCTCCCCCTCCAGCTACAGCAGGTGGTTGGCTAGACTCCTGGGACCCCGCCTCTTCTTGGCTGGGTCAGCCTCTGGTCATCTCAGCTCTCCTTCTCCTTCCACTGCCCCTCTGCCCAGAGCCTGGGATCTCCCCCCTTCCCCTATCTCCCCGTCCATTTCCTGCCCACTTGGACAGGCACCTGCATGGCAGGGCTCCAGGCTCTGAAACAGCCTTCCTGCTGCAGTGGAAACTCTTCTCCCTATAAACTTTCTCTGCGGAGCCTTAATCTTTCCTTCCAGGAAGTCCCCTGCTGACCTAACAGACTAGTCCCTACACGGGTGCTAATGGGTAGAGCGGTGTTAATGTGTGGCTTTCTCCAGAAGTAGATATTTATATCTTAGTGAAGTTTGGGTTGTTTCTGGGGAGCCAATGCCTTAGACAAAATGAATCATGGCCAAATAGCTGCAATCCAGGCCCTGTGGGAGTCTTCATTATTGGGTAGGTGAGTACCTTCCAGCTCCCTCGAATCAGACCACATGGGTGGTACCCACTGTGCCTGTTTGGAGATGGATCCCTCCCGCATCTTCTGTGATGGTTAGGATGCTGCTGCTGATGCCGTCTCTTGATTGTAGAGGAGCATTACTTGGAGCACGTTGATATATGCACATATACACTTCTCCAAGCCACAGCTCAGAGTGTTAGTAAGTTAAGGTTCAGGTCACAGATTTCAACCAGGAATGGACAGCACCTGCATACTTGCAGAGAAGGGCTCCAGATGCCTGGCGGTTGAGAGTCTAAGTTGTAAGTCAGCTCTCCAGGTTTTCGGTTCTCTAAGCTTCATCCTGGTGACACATCAAATTACCAGAAACAAATATAAATTGGCCGTTTGAGCATAGCTTTTGTACTGAATTAAGATTTCATTTTATTTTCTCAATTTTTATGAAAGATTAATGTGAGTCATCTATTTGCAAAAGCATTTTCTTGTCTTTCGAAACTGTATCTTGAACAAGTCATCTGCTTCAGTGTCCATTTTGTTTTCTAAAAGGAGTGATGGATTTGACTTTGTATTAAATCCCAGGAAAAATTTCTATTTCCATACTAACGTCTCTACTTCTTGTTATCTTGTAACAAATATCTACAACTCAGTTTGTTTCATGTTTGCCTCATTGTTACGATATCTGCAATTTGTACTTGAGTATATACAGCGTGATGTTATGCTTGCATTTCTTGGGTTAGGTGGCAAGCCCATGTCTTCATCAGGATGTTCAGCCACGGTTGGTCAGCTGGAATTCTAACCAGGCAGCCCATACTCCAGAGCTGGCTGCTAACTACTAAGCTTTGCTGTTTAGCACAATGAATTTCAGATGTGGATCTTTTTACTGGAGAAATTAGAGACCTGTTATCTAGCATGACGGATGTTAGAAATGAGTTCTCAATGGTAAAAGTAAAACAACTCGAGGTCCTGGATGGAGAGGTGTGTGGGAGACGTGCCTCCCTCTTTCGTGAAAGGGGCCTGTGGTCCTGCACCCCCACTCTTACGCATGGTGCCAGGGGCTACGTCCCAAATGGTCCTGTGTCCAGCTGTGCGCTGGAGGATTCCGGCTGTCTGAAGCCTGCTCTAAAGGTGACAGAATCCTGCCTCCTGCATTTTTGCAGCTGCTCTAAGTGAATTTTTTTTTTTGTCATTTAAGATGGTGATTCAGGAACCTAAATGAATGGAGAGCTCGTAGCTCCTCAAGCCCCAAGTAGAGGTTCTTTTGGATGTTTTTGTTGTGCTTGCTTTCTGATAAAAATGTGGTTCAGCAGTCAGAATCTGGTCTGGGACGCGGTCTCCTTGTTCCCTGGTGGGGGGGTCGTAGGTAGGAGCTGATCTTTATGCCCTCAGACTTTTTCAGTGGCCTCGTTACCTGCCAAGGAGACTGAGCTGTGAGTGACGAGGCGGGCATGGGACATGTGCACCCCTCAGCTACTGGGAAGTTCAGAGAGAGCTTCTTCATGTTGTACGTCTCAGCTCACGGGTGCCTTGGACTGTTCCTTTGCTCTGCAGGAATGGTCTTCATTTCTCTGGTCCTATTTCAGGGGTTCTTTCATATCGTGCACCTCAAATCCTTTTTGAAAGGAGGTGGAGTAAAAAACTTAAACGAAAATGATAGAGCGTTCTTCCTGGCTTCTTTGGGGAGGAGCCCATGGCTTTTCTCTTCACTTGTGGCTTATCTTGAATTTCATATAAGCTTGTGCTAGTGAGAGCCAAATGCATCACTTGAGGGGTGCGTGGTGGGGAGAGGAGCGTGGGGATTGGTGCCTGAGGTTGATTCCAACTGGCAATGCCTCAGTACCACCTTTCAAGGCTGCAGCTCAGACCTTCTGCCTGAATAGAGACTTCCCCTTCACCCCCCAGAGGGGAGAGTCAGCTGCACTTGTGCCTCTAGGTTGGGGGGCATTCTTGGTTCTAGCAACCTGGGAGCAGCCATCTGAGAAGCACCCTGTTCCTAAGGTAAGTCTAGTCCCTCATCTGAACATTGCACACTCGCGTATTTCTGGAACACCACAGGGAAATGAATGCACAGAACCATCAGCACCATCTGTCCTCACACACGCGCGCACGCACGGCCTCGCCTTCTCCAGGCATTTCACTCGGGTCGAAGGGCAGGGGCAAGAGCCTCATAGAGTCAGTAGGAACTGGTCTTGCTCGGGCGGCTTCCTCACCCAGGTGCCCAGGCCAGCCTTCTGGAACGCTCTGAACAGCTGCTGTTTCACAGCCTGGTAGGTGCAGGCCCCCAGCTTGGCCTCACAGTACATTGATGGCGTGTCTCCGTGGCTCGGTATCCGCGTGCTCAGCTGTGGGACGGGAATGAGAGAGAACAGGTGAGCGGCTGGCAGAAGCAGAGCCTCCCGGACGATGGAACGTCTGCAGGAGCAACACGTGGGCCCCTGGGTCCGCACTGTGCTTTCCCTCCTCTCTTCCTTTACACAGAAAAGGGGCGTGATAAAGGGTGACCGTGTACTTGAATTGGCTAAGAGGGTAGATCTTAAATTGGGTCTCCTCACCACACACAGAAGCGGTAACTCTGCAGAGGTGATGGACGTGTTAATTAGCTGGATTGTGGTGGTTATTTCACAACGTACACACGTCAGAATATCATGTTGTACAGCTTAAGTATACAGTCACGCAGTGCACAGCGAGGTTTCAGTCAAGGACGGACCGCATGTACGACCGACTGTGGCCCCATAACGTTAGTACCGTACAGCCTAGGTGTGTAGTAGGCTGTACTATCTAGGTTTGTGTAAGGACATGATATTCGCACAATGATGAAATTGCCTGAAGACACATTTCTCAGAACGTATCCCTGTCGTTAAGCGACACATGACTGTATACAATGTTTATACGTCAATCACACCTCAATAAACCTGTTAACAAAGAAAAATATCTATTTTGCCTGAATTGGCCCATTCATAAAATATCATACAAGATGATACGAAAAGAAAAGAGTGACTGTAGTAGTTTCTGAGTTCTGTGAGGTGATTCTGTAATTCCAGGGAAACCTAATTATTCAGGAAACTTTGCTTCACAAGAAGTGTGAATGATTAATGAGCAAAATAAACAAAGAACTTGCCTGCTACTGAAGATACCAGCACTGTGTGTGTTCTTTTCTTTTTGGAGGAGCGTCAGGGCTCACACTGGGTGGGGATGGGGGTGGGTGGTTTTGGGACCTAGATCAGCAGGGCAGGCAGAAGTGGGAGGGTCCAGGAACATCGCTAGCCAGCAGGAAGACAGTGAAAGAGGATGTGTCCTCCGTCTGCCTGGGTTCCGAGTTGCACCAGGCAAAGCCCTGCGGCCAGTGAAGGCAGGGACCCCAGACGGCGGGAGGTTAGGGGAACAGGGGGGCGGGAGGTCTGGATCCTGAGACCCTCCAGGGTCTCCGGGGAGTCTGGAGGCCAGCATGCCCCCCTGCTGCCAGGTTCTCTCTCTGACGTTCTCTGCCTGTGTAATTCAGGGGAAATGAGCTCACTCTTCTGAGCGTAAGTGTCCTTATATCTGACCTGGGAATAATACTTTCAAAAGGCTTCCATGGTCATAGCAGGTGTTCAGGAATATGCTGCTTTTCCTCTTGACTCTGGAGCCACAGCTCAGCTCCAGTGCTGCTGGTCTGGGGCCCATGCTTGGAGTAGCCAAGAGTGAAGTCCACGGGCAGCTGGGGAAAAGGAAACAGCCCAGGACCCACTTTTGTGTCGTGTGTCACCCTCGATCAGACCGACTGATGGCTTTCTGCCAGCGCCTCGTTTGTGTCCGGGCTGGAGCCCGAGTGCGGCTGCAGCTGGCCCCCCACCCCCCCAGCTCCAAAAGGAGCGAGTGGGCATTACCTTCCCGTAAAGCCGTGCCCACCGGGCAGAGAACATGTGCTTGCAGAGCCTGGAGGAGCTCCCACAGCTGCGCTTCCCGGTGGTGGCGTCAATAATCTCCATGTCCGCGTTTCCCACCACCCAGTTCAAGCTGAAGTGGGGAGACTTCCCCTGCTGGCGCGCCTCGGCGTTACTCACTCCTGTCAGAGAAATCAGAAGCAGCCAGGCATCAGTATTCCCAGCCCTGAGCAGGGCTCCCCTGAGATGGAGAATAATGGGAGACGGTCTGTGTGTGCGCTGGTGTCAGAGCCATCGTTTTGTACGTAAACCTTGGTCAGGTCAGTTTCACTTTGGGGATTGATGTGGAAAATAAAGCCCGACCTTAATGAAAGCCTCGCACTGAGACATTGCTGGCATTCATTTCTCACCTTTTAATGTAAAGGCAGTCTTGTAATAATAAAGTGCTGCCCAGATATTTCCCTCTTTCTGTAAATGTTTGCTGAGTGGATTAATGAGCACAGGGAGCCATGTAACAGCCATCTGAGAATGTGCGTTTATTGGGCACCTGCTGCACGCCCCGCTCTGCATGAGGCCAACACGGGGGCAGTAAATGTACAGATAGGCCCTCAGGTTTATGGTTTGGTCGATGAGATAAAAAGCTAATGAAGACGAGGGACCTAAGAGTGCAGGATAATCAATCAAGCAATGTGATCCAGAAACAGCCCCGGCTACGGAATTTTTGAGACCCAGAGCAAAACGACAACGTGGGTCCCCATGTCCGACAGTTGTTAAAACTTTCAGGATGACAAGAGAGCATTAAACCTGGCGCAGGTCCTTCTAACCGAGGTCCCTGTGTGGCTGCTCGGGGCAGACGCTGGTGAAGCTGGTCCCGTCCAGAAGGCCTCCAGAATTTGCAGGGAAGTCCTTCTTTCTAAGTTTCTCCCCTGGTCAGACTGTATGCTGGTTGTTGATTGGGACGACACGTTCCCCGTAGTCAGAGGCTCACACAGTGGCTCAGAGAAGGGAGAGTCAGAGTGGTCCTCCTCCGGGACAGCACCTGTTTGCAACCTGGCACGGTGGTCACACTTTGTAGCTTCTAGCGTCAGCCCGGCCTCCAGTCCTGCCTGTGCCCCGTGATGCCCCTCGTGCCCATCAGGAGGGCCAGAGACGCTCCGGGAGAGATGTTGGGGCAGCGCAGCCCCGGTGAGGCCTCTCCCGCCTCCTGCTGTGACTGTCCGGAGGATCTAAAACACGCGTGGCTCTGACGCAGCCCTCCTCCCAGTCGTCCTCTTCCTTCTGGAGGCCACGTTTCCATTCCATGGCCTTGGGGCAGGAATCTAAAGAGTCACAGCTGGGAGGGGAGCTGCCATTTCCCGGGGCCACGGCCAGATGCCTTCCACGGTCCAAGCCTCCCCAAGGCCGCTCCACACGCACCGGACGTGGCCCAGGGTCTGCTGGGGTCACGTGGAGCAGGCCCAGGGTCTGCTGGGGTCACGTGGAGCAGGCCCAGGGTCTGCTGGGGTCACGTGGAGGAGGCCCAGGGTCTGCTGGGGTCACGTGGAGCAGGCGCGGCCCGGCTCACAAAGGTGAGCGGGGCAGGAAGTCCATCTCGTTTGTTCTCTCCCGGGAAACTGTGGGACATGCAGCAGAGCCCAGAAACTCCGTCTCTGGATCTCTCAGCCCCTGCTCCTCCTGCAGATGCTTTCCCCATTCCAGCCCATCCACACGGGTCCCCCCATCCCAGTGGAGGCCCCGAGGGTCTTCTCTCCGGGAGGAGTCGTGTGTCACTGGAGCGAGGGATGCCTGCGGGACAGAACTGGCCACTTCAGTGCACTGACTAGGCCGCGGCTGGTTGCTCAGGGGTCATGGCGAGTCGCACGGTGGGTGGAGAAGCCCTGGTGTTGGGAAGCAGTCAGGGCGTGAAGGGCTCGCTGGCTTTCGGGGGCCTGCAGGGACATCCCGTGAGGGAGCAACCCCTGCATCCAGTGACAGCCCAGGGCCCCGCACCTTCCTGGAGGCCGCTGGCCTTCTGTGCAGCTCCGAGCTGCAAAGCTACAGATCCCAGGTCCTCGCGCTGCCCCGGCTTGCCCCCACGCAGGGGCTTCCTGGGCAGGACCCAGCCCACCCTCTGCACAGGCGCAGTCTGAGTCTGCCGCCTACACAGCCTGGCTCCAGACCATAGTCCCCGGTGACCTTCTCCTGGTCATGGATGGGCAGTGCCAGGCACCAGGCTGATTCCATCTGTGTCGGCTCATTCCTTTTCCTTGAAGTGATTCCCTGTGGTAGCTCCCCATGCTGAGAGCCAGGCAGGGGGACAATCTGGCACGTTGGCAGCCGAGGCCGTCCTACTGGGCAGGAGGAGGCAGTGGCCGAGGTGAGGGGTGACCGGGCACAAAGAGAGGTTGGCACTGCTCCAGAGCTGCACACAGCCAGGCATGGCCTTGTCACCTGGCTCTTCTCACAGCTCTGAACTTGGAGGAAAGTCCCTGAGAACCCAATGTTTCCCTCTGTGTCCTCTCTCTGCTGTGGAAAGTGTCACCGCTTAGCTGCCGGCTCTCAGAACACAGACACCCACTTGCAGAGGACTCGGCTGCAGCCCTGGCAGGGCACCCCACCTGGGTTGCCGCTCCAGCCCCCCATCTCCACCCGCAGAGGACCGGGGGTGGGGGACGGTGGGAAGGGAGAAGCAGAGAAAGCCAGCGCTGGCTGGGATGCGACCTGACCTGCAGAGGGCGCTTCCCCTCCCACCAGCACCTGAGCCACTGCCCTGTAGCTTTGGCCCGTTTGTTGGTGTTTGTAGGAGCAAAGCAGTGTGTGGACAGGAAAATAGCTAATGCTGTAAGAAATGCCGAAGCTCACTCACGACTCCGTAAATCAAATTGCAGAAATTGTTGATTTGTCACTATAATAGCCCTCATAGCCACTATCTGCAAATGAAATAAATTGTAAGTCCAGCCACCATCTTCCATGTCAACGAGTGTCTCCGTGACCAGAGGTGGGACTGTGGGGCTGGGGGAGCTGCCTCAGCGTGGACTTAGGATCTGGAAACTTAGTTCAGTCCTGTCTTTGCTCCTCATTCGCTCTGCGACTCAGCTGGTCTTTTCTGTACTCGGATCACAACAACTTCTTGTCGAAGGTCAAACAGGGCAGTTAGGAGCATTCTGAAAGTGTCCAGTGCCGTGACATTTTCATTTGAGGGGTGAAGGCCAACTCTGGTTGGCTTAGTGATCTCCAAGTCATACAGATCAAGAATGTTCCCAATTGGGTAACAGAGTCTTTCCCAATTTAGTGGTCATCGAGAAGACACAGATAATCCTTCAGATTGATAAGGTCTTCCGAAGACATGTTAGGATGCTCGATTAGGTCGCTTCCCGGTTCTTCTTTTGTCTATTTATTTTGGCCTGGGGGAGACACTTGGTTTCTAAGGAACCTTATGCACTTGTCCAAATGATCTCATTCGCTATGTGTTGATTTTACAATTTTAAATTAATTTGGTGCCCCAATCTCGAGCAGGGACTAGTCCATAGATCAGAGCTCCTTCAGTATTTCCTCCAGGCCGTGGACGACGGTTTCTGAAAGCGTTGAGAGGGGGAGGTCCAAACCCAGTCCCCTCAGCGCCAGTCACCTCATGGCTGGTCCTCTCAGATGGTGCCGGATGATACAAAGACGCGTGTGCTCAGGCCCAGAAGTGAGAATCTGGTCTGCATTTCATTTTTCCTCCCATTGTCTGGAGGTTGTGAAGGTGAAAGAGGCATACGTTCCTGGGATCGTTCTTCCTGGAGTCGTCATCAAATGATGGAAATCAAAATCAAGTCTGAAGTACACGGTACATCCACAGTCACAGGTGCAGCCTCCTAAGACCCGTTTTCATTATGATCCTCAAGATAGCACATTAGCACCTTCTCCGGATCCAATCCACTCTGAAGATACAATGTTATCTCCTTTTACCCCAGTCCACAGCGTTACATCCTCCTGGAGACTATTCAGAGCTTTCTATCCAGAGAAAGATGGAAGCCATCAAAGCCTGCCGTTGGCAAGGGGCCCAGTCCTAGTTAGGATCCAGGGAAGAGCTTTTATGGTCTGAACACTGAAAACACGAGCTTGTGTCCCTGTGCTCCAAGAAGAGAAGAAGGTCCTCCTGAGAAATAAACACTTGGAAAACTCAGCACTGTGCACAGCCAACCTTTGTTCAAGGTCACAGGGTCTGTTCGCGTGTATGTACATTGGGAGTCCTCATATTTTTCACCCTGCAGACCACCTCAGCCAGAGGTTCTCAAGTCCTGCTCTTTGATATCCAAAAAAGAAAACAAATCACAACAAAACCAACCCAGTATGAATGGGGGGGGGACTTTTGTCTTAACTGTAACCTGGGGACATAAAAACAATGTTGCATATGTCAATGTGATTTTATACTTTAACAGTGCAGCCCTGTGTTAATTTCCTGGGGCTGCTCCAGTAAATTGCCACCAAGTGGGTGGCTTAAAGAAAGTAAGAGAAATTTATTCCCTCACAGTCTGGAGGCCAGCAGTCCAAAATCAAGGTGTCCCAGGGCCTTGCTCACTCCAGAGGCACTAACGGAGGATCCTTCCTTGCCACGTCCAGCTTTTGGAGGCTCCAGGAGGTCCTGAGATTGTGGCCGAAATCATTCCCATCTCTGCCTCTGTCTTCACGTGGCTTCTGCTCCCTTTCTGTCTCTGTCTCTGACTCTCTGACTCTCTCTGTCTCTTGTCTCTCTCTCTGTCTCTCTCCATCTCCTTCAGCCTCTCTCTTATAAGGACACTTGTGCTGGTGTGTAGGACCCACTGACATATCCAGTATAAACTCATCTCAAAATCCTTAACTTAATCAGACCTGCAAAGACCCTTTTCCCAAACAGGATAATCCGTAGGTTTCAGGGATCAGGCTCTGGTATTTTGGCCTATGAACCAGTGAGAAGACTTCCTGGGGAAGGAGTAATCTGACCCTCCCGCACCTCTGGCAGGAGGACTGGATTTGCAGGTGTGGGGTTCCAGCTGCCCTCAACCACGTCCGAACGCCTTTTGTCTGAGCCGTGACTGTGGGGCACGGGGGCTGGCTGGGGAGAATGTTGGTCACCTTGGCCGGGTAAGAGCTCAGTTTGTTGAGACAGTCCCGGTGGTCTCCGAAAGAGCCCCACCCACCTGGACAGTCTCTCTACCAGAGTGGTCGCCAACGGAGACAATGCTGATGCAAATCTGCGCGACCTGATACGCACGGAGAGGTGCTGGCCTACACTGATGCCTACGCGTGCCACGCAGCACACGGCTGAGTGTCTTTACGCCTGTCTAGAGACAGAGTAGACGCGCGAGAGAATTAATGGGTCTCCGTCAGCCTCCCACACAGTCACCGCCAGGGTGACTGATCCACGGAGATTGTCGGACATTCATTTAAGTGCACGCGATTGTGTCAGTCGGGTGGACTGTGGAAGTAGAGCACTTTCATACCACCGCTGTGACTTACTAGCTGTGTGGCCTCTGATAAGCCAATAAACCTACTAACTACTCTACTACTATCACCACCACCCCTGCGGTTACTATCGCCATGACCTCCACTGCTACGGCTACCATTATTAAGAGTCATGAGAGTGAATCCGCAGCTCACCCATGAAAATGAGTGTTATTATGGCTCACATAGCTATTAAAAGATGCCTTACTTGGAGAAAATCCTTACATACCTTTTTTTAAAGCAGTATATAAGAAAGACATTGTAGCATTTCTTTAAATAGTTAGTGGGCCTACTATATTTAAAATGTAATTCACAATTCACTTTCCACAAATTAAATTTATACAAGACATTCAGGGATATAATTTTTACGTGAAGTGAGGCAAGTCTGTATTAGAGGGTAGCACTGTGTTTAATTTTGTGAAATGGGTGAAGCAGCATGCTTCCAGGCGTGCATGGAATCGCAAAGTTGCCAGAATAGAGGGGACTGCTCGAATTTATATACCGTCAGATACTCTGTGGGGTCTCATGTGCGCGCACACACCCACGTGCACACCTGCACACACACTAACACATGCATGCACACACAATCACACAGGCACACACAATCACACAGATACACACACGTCACACACATCACACACACGCACACTCCCTCCCACCCCCTCACTCTGCACACACACTTGTAATGGCAGTGAGCTAGTAGTATTTTAATGTGAACACAGGATCTGGAGTAACTACTAAGGCTGTATTAATGTCATTTGATTCTTTTTCATTAGTGTGAACATCACTGTAATTGACAGTAATTTTATAGCTACTGTCTTGTCTTAATAGAGCGTATTTCAGGGGAAATGGGCAGAATGTGGTGGAGTGTGGAGACAGTGTGGAGGGGAACAGAGGGTGACAGTGAACTCTTTCTGCCGTGAGATATCCTGACAGGTTCTCTGGGTTCCTGCCAAGCCAAAGGTGAACACACAATGTAAGGAAAAACTAGGCCATGACGGGTTTTCCCCTCCCTGTCCGTCTCTGACCAGGTTGGGGAGGTGGTGGCTGAAACGGTCCAGAGCAGTGTGGAGGGCACGTGCACGTGCCAGCGTGACAGCCCTGCGGTCACTGGTCTGGGAGAAGGTTCTGGGGAGGGCGGCGGCACCAGGGTGGGAGGCTGGAGCCTTTCTTTTAATGAGGGTCTCCCTTACTGATTTTCAGGGACTTCCTGCCTAGAGTCAATAGGATCGTGATCACATCATCTGTGATCATAAATGACAGTGGTTTGCATTCGTCATAGTTTAAAATGCACGTGCTCACAGGACACTCCAAAAGATGTGAAATTTCCTCCATGGCAGGAAAAAATTTGAATATTTCATTTTATAACCTGATAATGACATGGTTCTTGGTTCCTGTGAGGATTGTCCTTTTTCAAAAGATGTGGGGCAAACGGACTTTGGCAGAATATAGTTGATTTTGCTTCAAGTTCTATATTTTTTCACTGCTGTCGTGTCCAATATGTAGAAATAAGCCAAGTTTCATACTGGATAGAATGTGGATGATTTTCATTGCTCTTTATTCTGCGTTATCCATTTGGGGTCATTTTTCTTATGCCCAAATAACACACTTAGTGTTTCCTTTAGTGCGAGTCTGCTGGAGTTGAATCAGCTCCGTCTGTCTGTCTGGAATGTTGTCTTGCTCTCATTGAAAGGATACTTTTACTGGGTCTAGGATTTTATGTTGAGATTAATTTTCTGTGAGCATTTTAAAGATATCATTTCCTTGTTTTTCTTTTCCAAGAATCAGCTCTCATTCTGATTTTGCTCCTTTGATGTTGATCTGTCTTTTACTTTCTGTCTGTTTTTAAGATTTTTTCTGTCTTTTTTTTTTTTGTAAGCAATTTTACTGCTCAGGGGAGGATTTAAAAAACTTCTTCTTGGGGTATAATATGCTTTTTAGATCTGTAGCTTGATGCTTTTCACCTGCCCTGGAGAGTTCTTCATTATTATGTCTTCAGATATCTCTCCTGCTCCAGTTTTCTCTCTCCTTCTGGAACTCTTGTTATGTGTATATTAGACCGTCTGACCCTCTGATTTAGGGTGAGCGTCACTTTATAACCCCTGGCTTTATTTTTCTACACAGCATTTCTAGTTTGTCTGTTTGTCAGTCTGTCATCCCCACTGGAACGTCATCGCCCTGGGGATGGATTTTCGACCATTTCCTTCACTGCTCTGTTCCCACGCAGCCCTGTCCCTGGCACGTCGTAAGCCATCAATCCATGTGTGTTGAATGATTAAATGGGTGCCTGGTTTATGTTGACCAACTTCTTAGTGTTTGGATAAATTAAATGGATTGACAATGGTAGTGTTTTCCTTAAATGGTAAAATTCTCAGGAGCAATCTAATTAAGTTTGGTGTTCAGTTCTTTTGTGAAACAATTCCTTAAAATCATGGTGGAAGTGAAATGGAGCTTAATTGATATACAACTATTTTTAAAACAACTCCCCAGAAAACTAAAACAAGGTTTTCCCATAATTTTAAATTTATTGTAAGCTATGTGCCATCTAATTTGCTTAGGGAGATCAGTGCCAATCTATGGAAATGTCTTATTAAATAGTTCTTAGTTGAATCTAACTTATTTGATCTCCATGCAAAGATATTAGGATTATTTTTGGATTATTCTAGCAAGATTTATAATAATTTTGTTTTCTACCAAAAATTCCTTCAAGGACATCTGAGGATAAATTCCTACCTCTTAATGACTCTACGATGAAGGAGCCTGCTCAGATATTTTTTTTTTGGTGAGGAAGATCAGCTCTGAGCTAACAACATGCCAATCCTCTTCTTTTTGCTGAGGAAGACTGGCCCTGGGCTAACATCTGTGCCTATCTTCTTCTACTTTACATGGGACGCCACCACAGCATGGCCTGACAATTGGTGCATTGGTGTGCACCTGGGATCTGAACGCAGGCCGCCAGCAGCGGAGTGCACGTACTTAACCACTACACCATGGGGCCAGCCCCTCAGATATTTTTTTGGAGCTCATGTGTTTTATCCTAAATGTTTATGAACCGTTTATAGGTGACTCTCTAATTTACCTGTGTTTATTTTAATATAAAAATAATGTGGCAAATTACTTACCATCTGCATAATAGAAAATCTTCGCTACTGCCCCAATGGGTTATTTTGCAAGATACTATTAATGAGCACCAATTTCAGAAATTTCTCCTGAATTAAAGAGGCTTAACACTCCATATCAGAGTCTACAGCTTAGTGTGACAATATTTTGGAAATACAAACTCACACAAAAATGGATATAAATGGCAACAGACGTCCTTGCCATCCCACCCACCACTGTTCCCTAAAGAGAGGTGTCTGGGATGCAACAAGTCGGTGGTATTGGGCAAAACATAGAGGCTGCTGTTGGCGGACATTTCCGTAAGTGTCAAACTTCTTTCTGATAAATTCAGTTGCTTATGAAACATGGAAGTTTGAAAAGCCTTCTATGCCAGTTAGTCATTTTGACCGCTTCAGGAAAACATGTGCTGTGGAAAAAGACAGCGGATGCTCTTCTCTCGCTATCGCCGATCTTGTAATTTTTATTACATGAACATGAACCGAGAGTCTTAAATAACTCACAGTTCCGACATTCAGTTCCTTTGTCCATCTCTCAGATTTCATGTTCTTTGCCAAGACCTTGCCGTGGGCTATAAAACTAATGATAAGTTTTATCTTCAATGTGGACCAAGAAGGTTCAACGCTGAAAACATATTTGTAAAACGTGCCATTAGCACAAGCAAAGAATTTATCCTTTGTTGTGATTCTTTTTCCTGATGAAGAAAAATAAAAATGGAGCCTGGAGTTGAAAGCTCAGGAAAACGGTACCCTCAGCCTGGCAGAACAAGCTTTCAAAGTCACTTTCTAACACTTTACGTTTTTCTGAAAAGATGAGTATTCAGAGCACAGATTTTTATTAATTATCATTCTCACCATTTTATCACCCTGTTGAATACCCTGAGAAAGACCAAAGGCAAGTTCCTCTAGGGGAGCTCTTCTCCGTCGAGGATGCAGCTCTCCTGGGTGATTCGGGATCCGCGGCTGCCGTCGTGCGACTTCCGGTCCTCTGGGTTTGCCCGGGCTTCAGCCTGGTCTGTGCAGAATGTTTCGGGTGTGTCTTCGGAGAACATTAACGTGCATCCTACAACTGTGTCAGTGAGGGCGTCTTGTTCGTCTCGGCTGCTTCTTAGCTCAGAACTGATTTAGCCGCATCTCAGTGGCAGAACTCCTTCCACCAACATGCAGGCTCCATCTTCCTGGGCAATTCGCAAATGAACCTTGAGGGAATCTTCAAGCAAATTTCATGTGCTTGTTCGAGTGCTTTTTATTATTACCCTTATAGAAGATCTCTCTCTTTTTGGTTGCAGAAAATCCTTATGATTTACTTTCAGAATCTGCGTGGTTGGTTTTTAACTGTCCATCAAAAACCATGCAGTTACTGCCCGCAGGTGAGACACCAGGGTGGAGGCTTGTTTGCTTCTCTACAATAATGAAAACCATGTTTTAAATAAGCGCCTGGGTACCGACTGAAATGCTTCGTGAGGCCGTCCTTGCTGTGGGTGTAGACAACACCGGGCTGGGCATGCACGTTGAGTGTCGGGTGCGTTGCCATTATGTTACCCGACTCCAGGTGGGGTTTCAGGTGGTTCTGAATATCTCTAATTGGGTTTGTTTTTTAATTCACTGCTTTCACACTTATAATTCAAAATTCCTGTTTCTCTGTTTACGTGTTCCCAGTTGAACAAGTAATTTAAAAAGAGCGTTGGAAGGAGAATGGATGCCCAGAAAGTAACGAGCTGGTACCAAGAGGAGGATGAGAACCAGCCCTTGGCAGTGGCTTGGTGAGGATGCGCATTTTCCATTTCCTTGTGCTGATGCTGATGGAGTTTAAGTAAGTTGCTCCCTAACACATGGACTTGGAAGAACAAGGACAACCCCAGGAGCGAGGAGCATGGAAAAAGATGTCACTTGACATTCATCAAAATGATGAAAATTCTCTTAAATTAAAATTAGACACCCAAGAACTTCACTAAAGTTTTTGGGGGGCACCCTATATGGGAACATTTGCTTTTAGCTCCAGACCAGTAATTCCAGGTTTTTCTGGGGTCCACTCCAAAGCTATTTTTGCTGTTTAACCACAAGAGGTAAGTAACCATTTTAGGAAAAAATAGGAGAAAGAAAAAAGGAAAAATGAAAAAAAGAAAGAGAAAGGTTGAAACTGGGCCCAAAGTGATATTTTATCAGAATTACTGGAATTATTGACTGTTTAAAACAAACTATAATTTTATAGACTTTGAATTTGAAGCAAATCTTTCGATCCCTCACTTGATGACAGGTGAGTCAATCGTGAGCTTCTTGGAGACTGTGTGTGTGTCTGAGGCTTTGGGAGTTGGCTTGCCTCTCCCACACCAAGTTCTCAGTAGTTAGGTATTGCCACTTCTTCAGCCAGTCTTGTTTTGCATTATTAATTATAAGAAATTATAGGAAATTGTGCTACACTGCCAGGGGACGCAGTGTGGTCTATAGAAACAACTTAGCTTTCTAATCCAACAGCTAAGTTCAAATCCTTGCTCCATATTGATAAATACAGCATCTTAGTGAGCTGCTGAGTTCCCGTGAGTCTGTTTCCACGTTTGTGAAATGGAGATGACTGTTTGTCATCTGTTTGCAACCATTTGTTGCTGGTGGGTGTGATGGGACGACATGTGCCACATGCTTGACCTTGGGAGGGAACGTCCAGTGTTAGTTCTCTTCTCTCAACAACATAGCCTTTCTCGGACGGAGGCTCGTGTGCTGTATAGTCATTGTCCTACACAGACCAGACGCCTCTGGGCACTCAGCCCGGCAAAACGGCCTGCAGGCTGTTCATGTGGTGAGGGTCATGGGACCCTGAAACCCTGGGCACAGCTTTAGGTCAGATCCAAAGGCAGCCTTTCACAGCAAGGACTGTGGTGGAGAAATCTTGTCCTATTGATCTTATTAACGCAGCCCCTAGGACAGTGGTGAAGACACTGCCCCTTCCACAATGGGTCAGCCCCGGGAACAGTACAGAAAGGTGAAACCTTAACAAAACAACAGATATTTCGTGTCCCCGGACAGACACCATGACCCCCGCTCAAATAACCCCACCGAAGTTTGCAGACTTATGACTGAAAGTCCCCTCCCTGGACACATGAGGCCCCTGGAATCTAACATGGTCCCATGGATTTGGGGATGGCTGAAGCTAGTCCCAAAGATGACGAAGTAGTTTTGGATCCACTGCCCAAGTGCCACACATCCCTCCTCCCTCCCTAACAAGAGGTGACATTGGTGTAGGGTCTGAGGACCTTAGGGGCAAGGTCTCCTGTAGAAGAGAGCCTGGATGTAACATGTTAGGGACCAGCCCCACGCTGGAGAGTCCTCTTCTGCCCATTTGAACTTGCAGGTCTGTGACGTCTTGAGTTGGTGAATATTGTAGGAGGAATGACAAATGAGGGGGTGTCTTTTCTTGAATATTTGCTTAGCGTAGTTAAGAGCTTGTCTTGAATTACTTCTTTTGGTTCTCAACCTCCATGGGGCACTATTATTACCCCTGATTTTATGATTTAGGACAATTTTAGAAGCCTGGGAATAAATCTTAGGCCCACTTCTTAGCCACACACTAAAAATAGCTCTTTTTTTAAAAAATTATTTTATTGAGGTCATATTGGCTTATAACGTTGTGTAAATTTTTCTTTTTAGTGAGGAAGATTGTCCCTGAGCTAACATCTGTGCCAATCTTCCTCTATTTTGTATGTGGGATGCCACCACAGTCTGGCTTGATGAGCAGTGTGTAGGTCCGCGCTCGGGATCTGAACCCATGAACCCCCGGTTGCCCAAGTGGAGTGTGTGAACCTAATCACTATGCCACCTGGTCGGCCCCATGTTGTATAAATCTTAGGTGTACATTATTATATTTCAGTTTCTGTATAGACTGCATTGTGTTTATCACCAATAGTCTAATTTTTGTCCGTCACCATACATATGTGCCTCTTTACCCCTGTTGCCGTGCCTCCATCCCCTTCCCCTCTGGTAACCACTAATCTGTTCTCTTTATCTATGTGTTTATCTTCCACATACAAGTAAAATCATGCTGTGTTTGTCTTTCTCTGTCTGACTTATTTCACTTAGCATAATACCATCCATGTTGTTGCAAATAGGACGATTTTGTCTTTTTTTATGGCTGATTAGTATTCCATTGTGTATATATACCACATCTTCTTTATCCATTCGTTAGTTGATGGGCACTTGAGTTGCTTCCATGTCTTGGCTATTGTGAATAATGCTGCGATGAACATAGGGGCGCATAAATCTCTTTGAATTGTTGATTTCAAGTTCTTCGGATAAATACCCAGTAGTGGAATAGCTGGGTCGTACGGTATTTCTATTTTTAATTTTTTGAGGAATCGCCATACTGTTTTCCATAGCGGCTGCACCAGTTTGCATTCCCACCAGCAGTGTATAAGGGTTCACTTTTCTCCACATCCTCTCCAACAATTGTTGTTTCCTGTCCTGTTAATTATAGCATTCTGATGGGTGTAAGGTGATATCTCATTGTAGTTTTGATTTGCATTTCCCTAATGATTAGTGATGTTGAGCATCTATACATAGCCCTTTTATCTTCCGATTTTCTTTCAGGCGCTCCGGTCTAAGACTCACACCAGCCAGGCGCTGTTGGTCTGCACAGACCCGCGGCCCAGCTCCCTCCCTGGTCCCCTGCCTCCTCAGTCACCTCCTGGCTTTGAGGGGCGGCCTTCTGAGAGCTCCAGCTCAGGCGGGGAGACCGCCTCAGAGCTGTGGTGTTTCCCTGCAGGCCCCAGACGAGGCTTACTGGATGTAATTAAAATCCACCTGCACCCTCCGTCTGCTTCTAGTCAGTTCCCAGGGACATTCCAGGGTCCTCAGCGTGAAAGGCCAGTGGTCACAGTGGGTAGGTCTGACTTTCCAAAACCCTGGGACGGAGGACTGGCTCCTTTCTGTGTGCCTACCTGGAACCTGACCACCCCCAAAGCACGTCCCGGCCACGTGACCCCCGATCCTGACAACCAGTGTGTGCTGGCGGCCTAGGGTGGCCGTCCCACTTCATGGTGGGGCCGCTAAGCCTCCAAAGGTTTGGTGCTTGCCGAAACACACGGCCGCGGGAAGCTGGGAGCAGATTCAGGCGTTGTGTCTCGGCCCACTGCTCGAATGTGCCGTAATCCAGGCCCCACAGAGAGCACAGGGACCCCTCGGGCAGCCGTGGGCCCCGTGTCCACCCTTCTCACTGCTTCTCACCCACCTGGCCCTCCCTCAGAAAGGCCCCGGACGCGCAGCCCCGGGCGGTAAGTTGTCCTGTAGACGCATGTGATTACTGGTCTCTATTTCTCCCAGGTGCAGTAGACCTGCAGTGGAGTGACACTGCTGTGGGGACGTGCTGCGTCCTCTTACACATTCACCCTAAAATGGTGCTGCTTCCTATATGTCGAGAGCACTGACACCTTTTTTAAGTCTTTTGGACAGCTGTAATTTTGCTCCCTAAGTCTTAAATAGCCATTGGCCAAAATGGGTAAACTCTGCCCTGAGTTGGCACCTTTGGGGCCCGCTGATGGGAAGAGTGTGTGTGTCTCTGAGGGCGGAGTTTTCTTACCACTGAGGAGGGGCCGGTTGTGCCGGTACGAGGTTGGCAGCTGGCCGATGTCCTCGGTCCTGTGGCTCATCACCCGGGAGAGGTGGCCGGTGTGGTGCAGGCTTCCCACGATGATACTGTGGAGGTACACGGGCTCGATGAAGTGGCAGAGGAGGGCGCCCTGCAGCCCCAGCACGTTCCACCTGGAGGGAGAGAGGAGGGTCAGCGCCATCGCTCCCCTGAGGGAGCGCTCAGGGGCCCCAGTGCAGACTCTACCTGGGGCCTTCTCCCTCCACCTGGTTCCCGAGGTGGCACTGTCCCCATCGTGCAGACTGACTGGGAGGCTCGCTCGGGAGCTCCCGACACAGCCGACCCATCACGGCCTTGGCCTAGGGCTGCTAATGATTCCGTGCCCCCTCGTGCTGCCGGGCGGCTCTGCCTGCAGCTCTGCATTCCTTTTCTGGAAAATGAGTTGTTAGATGGAGTGGAAGCTACATATTCTCTCAGGAACTTAAAATTAGATTAGAAAAAGAAGACAATCTGTCCCCAAAGTGAATCTGAATTTTTCTTTATATTAGCTGGGAAATATCAGAAATTGAATTGGCTTCAGTTTAGGGAGAGATACTCTCTTCCCCTCCCTTTGTCCTCCGCAGTCAGAGTGACCTGTTGTGTTGAAATTAAATGACGTTAGTAAATGACTTTGTTCTGCTCTGGGGATGATTTTGACTTTAGAAGCCCAGATCAGAGATGAAGGACAAGACCATTTTCTTTGAAATAAATATAGCTCTGGGTCAGTGTTTTTGCTCTTGCAAGGAGAGATGACAGGAGCATTTTAAGAATTTTTCCCTCTAAATTTGTGTGGTACAAGGTTACACGTATCTGATATTTAAGGTGACATTTTGTGGTTTCCACTCTAAACAGCATGCTTACAATCCACCTTCCATGAGCAGCGAGCATTATGCAGCTAATTTCTTACATCATTGTTCTTT